GGGGGGGGGGGGGGGGGGGGGGGGGGGGGGGGGGGGGGGGGGGGGGGGGGGGGGGGGGGGGGGGGGGGGGGGGGGGGGGGGGGGGGGGGGGGGGGGGGTGGGGGGGGGGGGTGGGGGGGGGGGTGGGGTGGGGGTGGGGGGTGGGGGGGGGGGGGGGGGGGGTGTGGGGGAGGGGGGGGTGGGAGGGGGGGGGGGTGTGGGGGGGGGTGGGGGGAGGGGGTTGAGGGGGGGGGCCTGATATGGTACGGGGCCTGTAATGGTGGACCTGGGGTTGTAAGGAACGTTCCAAACCCTGCTCGGAACGTTCCTTACAACCCCAGGCCCACCATTACAGGCCCCGTACCATGTCATGCCCCCAATTCCAGGCCCCCCCCCATTCCAAGCCCTCCCATATCAAACCCCCCTTCCTAGGCCCACCATTTTAAGCCCCGACGATCAATACGAGGCCCCACGTTAAAAATACTAATGATAATGATTATGATGATGATTATGACGATGATGATGATAATAATAATAATAATAATAATAATAATAATAATAATAATAATAATAATAATAATAATAATAATAATTAATAATATTAATAATAATAAAATTCTTATGACATATTTGCGAAATAGTGACAAGGCATAGTCGGCAATCTGAATATATTAAATCTCGTCACTTGACTTGCCTACATGTCGAGCTCAGAGCGCGAGCTCAAAAATTCTTAATGTTTTAGATGCCAAAGAGAGTGAGAGAGCCGGAAACCATCATTGTCTTAATTTATCTAATAACTCTGGAAGTGTGGAACATTTCATATTTCCGCACTTCCACACTTCCAGTTTTACCATATTAAAAAGATGAGACAATGAAGACATACATTTCCACACTTCCACACTTCCAGAGTTACTAGATAAAGACAATCAAGACACATAGAGACAATGGAGACACACTTCCACACTTCCAAAGTTAGCAACTAATATTACTCGATTCTATGTTTCCAAGAGATTGTAGTGCTTTCAAGTCAATGGATACCTACGTTTGTCTCTATTACGACTACTGTTGCATACATTTGTCATAAATTAACGATACTGTTACTCTTTCGCCCATTCCATTCTGATGACGCGTTCTGTGCTCTTGTACCAGATGTAAAAGCCCAGAGTTCGTATAAAAGAGCAAGCCTCCATCGATGCGATGTCGAAGAAGGTTAAACTAGACCAGGTTCACTATTCATCCACTATTAAACTCAACGTTGGCGGTCAGCACTTCACCACAAGTGTGCAGACACTGAGAAAAGATCCCAACTCGATGTTAGCCGCCATGTTTTCTGGGAAGTTTGAGGTGAAACCTTCTGAGGACGGTTCGTTCTTTATCGACCGAGATGGAACTTACTTCCGCTTTATACTGAATTATCTTCGTAACGACGAACTTATCTTGCCAGATGGTGCTACATTCCTCAAGGAACTCGAAGCTGAAGCTACGTTTTACCAGATTCAAGGGATATTGGATGAACTGTCGAAGCCTAAAGTACAATTTACAATTGACAATTTACCGAAAGAGTTCGAGGATTCGTTGATTTTGACAACTGAAACGCGTCGAGTCTTGAAAGGTTGGTTGCCTCTGGTTATGGCAGGCGAATGGCGTTTGCTGTTCCGAGCTTCTCGAGATGGTTTCGCCTCTTCAGTGTTTCATTCGAAATGCGACAACAAGGGGCCAACAATCACTGTTGTAAAAAGTGGTGGAAACATTTTTGGAGGCTTTACAGAGAACTCTTGGACAAGTAAGTTAAATTGATATGATACAGTTCTAGAATACAAATCAGCATAGAGTATTAAACTCACTCCTGATGAATGGTTGAGAACTTTAATTAAAATTTTATGCATGTCGCATAGCCTTTGCAGGAACTTGTGCATTAATCACCCGTGTTAATTTCCTTCCTAATCAGTTAAATTATTATTTCCTCTTTATTCTGAAGAAGGTTTACACACTGTTCATACTTGGGTACCTAAGCCACTGACTCGGACTAATAAACACCGCTGTGGCTATAACCGGTCAAGGTTTCAAAACACTAAATGACCGGCAGCCTTCCTATATTCTCCGTAAATTTTACATATCGAAAAAATCCAGCTAAACCAAACTGTCATATGTCGATTGAGAAAAGTCAAGCTATCCTGAAATGCTTTATAGATCTTAAGTCTAGCGTTTGGTTTACGCAGGGCTCAGGTTTTGAAAACCTTGAATTGATAGGTTACCGGCCATATAGCCACAGCGAATATAGCCACTGGGCAACGTGAGCTCAATATAGGTTCAGGATCAATGAAGTGTAATGGGGCAGAAAATGTTTGAAAGGTTTACATTTAAAGATCTTTGAAATTTAAATGTGAAAATGACTGTTTAAGACATAATGTCTGAATATATATATCAGGTTTAATCACTATTATTCACAGGTGCTACTGCCCCTGAGAAATCAAGTCATTTTCTCGATGCTAATGAAGTAAAAGTGTCATGTCGCCATGCCTTCCTGTTCAGCTTTGTAAACCCAAGTGGTCTGGGACCGACCAAACTGCCGCTCATCTCTGGGAAGGAAGATTGTGCCATCGTTTGTAAAAGCAGATGTGGACCAGTTTTTGGTGGTTGGGTTGGGCATGACCTATTTACATCAAGTGGTGGTAGCTACAGTAGCAGCAAACTCGGCAATACCTATCAGCGCCCACCAGGACAAAAGAGCACGTTCTTCACAGGTGAAGAGAGTTTCTGTGTTGCAGATTACGAGGTGTTTGGACTCTGCCAGTGACAACTACCAAGCAGGTAAAATAAACTCTTACAGCTAGAACACTCGATACTTTATCTAAATGTTATAACAAAGGTATTTAATGCGTCATTAGGGGTGCTAGGTACTCAGGAGAAATGTGTTGCTTTGATATTGCTCTGCGGCTTTAATTAAAGAGAGGTGCAAAGTGGAGGCAAATCAGAACCGTAAATTAACTTGGCTTCTCTCTTTTTAAATAGGAGCTGATTTGAGAATATCTATAGGTTCTCAGAGTGAAATATTTACCTTGACTAGTCTCCCAGAGTGCGACTTTTTGCAGTAAAAACCTCACCAATCCAGCGTTTATTCCCATTACTTCTTGAAAGCGTTGACTCTCATCGTGAAGAAGACTCTCGGGACATTTGACCATGTCTCTACAGGCGCTGTGTTTTCTTGTCGTTGTTAAACTGAAAAAGAAATAAAAGTGAATGTGTCAGTCGTTTGGTTCGAGATGGGACTGCATCCCGAGATGCTCTAAAAAGAACCTTTTCATCCGCCTTTCGTTTGGCTTTGTGACCGACTGAGTCAAAAACTATAAGCTATGGTAGGCCATTAACAGCATTTCATGGTACGGCGAAGCAATTCATGTGGTTTACTAGAAATCTGAATTTTCCTGTGGTTTTCACTCTGCCCGTAGTGTGGCCTTAAAAAGGTCCCGCATCATTTTTGTTACTGACTTGTCTTGTATGTTTCTTACCAGCTCTACAAGGCCAGTATAAAAGAAATGATAACTGAAAGCTCCATTTACCGAATATCTTATGAATACATCCTATATGCTCATCCCTGTTTCAGTTAGTTTCAGACATGATGCCGTTCTTCCTGGAAATGGATATAATACAGTGTCCTTCATTAACCTCATAAAGTCTGTTAACATGTGTTAAATTATGCTTAAAGGTTAATTTGCGCATTCTCGCTACAAGGTTGGTAGGGGCTTGTTTGACTTTTCTAAACATTTGTCTTCTTTTTTATTGCAGATGAACTTCAGTTCATCAGTGTACATGAGGAAGAAAGCAGCAGTGGATTACACATAAGAGCCACTACCAACATTATCTTTTACGAGCACATGGTGCCTTTGGTTGTTAGTATGATAACGATCTAGACTGAATAAGTGAGATCCAGTGTTTTCTTAGGATTTAGAACTGATCATATAATAATCTAGTTTTGTAAGTCAATAGTTCCTGTATGATCTAGCGTCTACCTAAAGCACAGCCTAAGATTGGGATTTTATTTCAAGTTCAGATATCGAAGCCGAGACCCATAGCAAACTGACTTTGTCAGTCCGTTCCTATATCATTATTGAAAATTTTGTTTCTAGGGTATGTATACCGTATTTTAAATTCTTAATTTAACGCTGGAAAAGGCAAGTCATTTAAAGAAGTTGAAAATGAACCTCTCAGGATCTTGTTTGTTAATGGAAAGAGATGATGTAAAAAGTCAGATAACTACAATGATGATTTGCAGCAGAAGAAACGAAAATAAAAGATTATTCAATGTCATAATCGTGATGTCTCGTACCCAGATGTCTCTCTATTGATGACAATTGGGACCATTTAAGCAAAGACGGTTTTGAGCGACGAACGTCAACCGGAAGTGGACTCTTTGCATTCTTGAACAGTTGTTATGACTAAACATGCAGGGGAATCGTCTTTATAAGAGTAAAGACACTTTTGTTCGCCAGGTCTTTTTGCTTGGAAAAAGGGAGGGACTGGAAGGTAAAAGGACTTGGGGAAAAGGTTGGTGCGCGAAAAGGAAAACGGCTTTACCGGCTCCTTTTCCATGGTCCCTTGCGTTTCGTCATCAGTCACTCGCGTTTCACCCTCGTCTCTATGCGAAATAGGACGCGCCTGAGGAGGAAGCTGGGGCCCGTTTCTCGAAAGTCCCGATAATTAACGGGCCCGTTAAGCTGTCTCCGTTTACATTAAAGACCGAGGTTTCAATAGTTTTGCATCTAACACGATAAAACTGTCAGTTAATGAAACAAAATGAAGTAGTTTGCTAGCCAGGACCCGCGCTCTTATTCTTTATATTTCGATTTGAATATTTGATTTCGGGCCCGTTAAGTTACCGGGACTTTCGAGAAACGGGCCCCAGGGCCGGCAGGCCATGGATAGTTTTGATTTAAGTTGTCAAGTTGACTGTAGCCTGCGTTGCTCTCTCGCGCCCGGAATCCGCTTCCCCTCTCCTATCAAACGCCTGCCACACAGGTTAAGCAGACTGAACATGCTGAAAGCCGAGAATTTGTTTTAGATCCAAGAAATCCTTCCTCACCGTTTAACAAACAAAGGTGACCCAGCATGTTGACCCCACATGTTGTTACTGCTGAGGGTGTCTGAATGCCTGCAAATGCTTTTTATTCAGAAGAAAGGGAGATGAAAGGAATGCTTAACGTAAGTTCTTTATTCTCTGAAAAATTTTGTTGAGGTCTCTTTATTGTAACTTGTACTTCTCTTTGACACCTTTTTTGACGTCTGTCCTAAAGTTTCTTCTTTGAATGATAACGAGCTCATCTGATCAGACACTTGAATATGTAAACCGTCGCTCCCTGGGCTTACATCTTTGTAAGGGGTTTTAGTATATTTAGGAGGTCTTTTAATCGAAGGGGTTTATCTCCGAGAGATTCCGAGGGGGGTTTATAATCAGACTAGGGGAAAAAGCGTTTCGAAGCAAGCTATTGCAGTGCTGATCGAAATACCTTTTGCATTTCAGTACTGGTTTTTAATCAAGCTTCAAAAAGTCATGATAAATCGAATTCATTCCAACACGTTTGAAGGGGGCTTATATCCCAGGGAGCTCACAATCGAATAGCGTAAAATTCCGAAAATAAGCCCTGGGGCTTACACTTTTTTGAGGGGCTTATATTCGGTGGTTGAATTTACCGTTTTTGCTTTGTTTTACTTGGTATTTGAGGGCAATTTCCAAGTACAAGCCCCGGGGGGCTTATATTTGGAGGGAAGATTTAAGGAAGGGTTTTTTGTGTTACGAGTTTGGGAGACTTATATTTGGAGGGGCTTATACATGGAGGGGCTTATTTTCGGAATTTTACAGTATATTTTTTGTTTACAGGCAGATGGGTCTGGAGCTTCTAAATAGGCGTCGACAGACAGTGTGCTCGTAAAAGTAGCATAATATGCTACTAGCAGTGCTCGTACATTTGTAGAATTTTGCCAATAATTATGCTAGTTTTTGTAAATTTATAGCAGCCTGCAAAATGATGCAGCAGCGCAACCAGTCCTTGAAGGTAGCAACCAAGCCTGTGAATCTGTTAAATCCTTAATAAAAGGCGAAAACTTCTCAAAACTGTTATGGAAATATTAGCTTTATTATCAGGCGCGGATCCAGGATTTTGAAATGGGGGGTGAATTTTTGTAATAATGTATAAATAGAACCAAAGCCTGGTTGAGGTGTTTGAGGTCTGTGCATCAGCATGATTGATTTCCGATGAATAGCAATAAAAGGGGGTGGTAGGCCTACACGACTTTTACCTCATGCCAAAATGCTGCTTATTCCAGTAAAATTGTTTTTATCTGCTGGGTAGATTATGCTCTGGAAGGTTCTGCATTTATACTGACCAAATGTGATTTTAGCCGCATGTTTCACACTGAGAGGTCGTGACATACATATCGATTGACTGTAGTTATTGTTTTCTGGTCGGCAGGATTTGCCCTCTGATGCAAGCGCATTTTTTTGACCTCTTTTGAAGCGTAAAGCTTTTTTATTGCGGCTGAAAAAGGGTTCCAATTTCCTCCAAAGTGCCCTCTGGATCTGAATAACTAAGCGATTTTCTTTAGTCCGTGAGTGTAATGTTTTTCTGCAATGCTGTATCACGCTGGGCCCAGCTCGTCAGTTTTCTTTGCAGAATGTTAAATTATCAGAATTATCACGGATAGTGACTTACAGATCCAAAATTATAAGAGTGAACTGCAGCTTAAACTGAAGCTACATAAATTTACTATGGAAAATTGAATTGTGACTCAGTAAACTCCAGCTTGGTGTTTTCTAAAGATAGTGTGAGTCTTTTGACTGGAGCGCGTAGTTCCTCTCTTGGCAATAGCTTTGAGTAAGCTTAACAGTCCTTAAACTGTTTTGTTATTGCCACAGTTTGTGATCAGGCGAGACCATGGTTTCGGTTCTCCACACGAACTTTTTGCAAGAGCAACTTTGAGGGATAAGAAAAAAAAGAAAGAAGGGGGCTCAGAAAAAGGGGGGTGAAAATTCACCCATTTCACCTCCCCTGGATCCGCGCCTGATTATCATTATTTTTCTCTTTACGGCGACAAAATGCCCATTATGCCGACCTTATGCTCGATGCTCTGACTATAGCATTATGCCCAGAATTATGCCAACATAATTTATCTAACCCTACCTATGTTACCGTCAGGTTTGTCTTTCTATTCTAAGGGCACCCGGCATACGAGCAAAGGGACCGACCTTTCTCCTCCGCTACTTTTCTTGGAAGACCAGAGGGCCTCTGCTTGAAGGGTAAACGGGGTAAAGGGTACAAAGGATCATTTTTTTTTTTAAATCAGAAATAGCAAAGTTTAAAAAATTTAAAACATCGAGAAGTATGTTGGCTACTTTGCACAAAAAACTTAAGATTCGTAAATAATGGGTGAGAAAAACGAAAACTCTTCGGGAAAATTCTATCATGACTCCGAGGTTTTCAGGTCATTTTTCTGTATTTGGTTTGGTTTTCTTAGTACCTAATTCTCTTCTGGGAATTGCGAGATAATTTTAACCCTAAATCGAACGTGGGCTGTGGTGCTTGGGGTACCTGTGAGATGAAAAACATTGATTGGCTGGAATTTGTTTGCGCCCGATGTTCCGCTAGAGCCGCGTGCCAAGCTCGGGGAATGACGAACCAACGAGCTCCGTCCCGGGCGAAATACCTGGTTTATTTTCGTTAGATTTTTGGTTAGAGTATAGTCAAGGCTTTATTGTCCTACGATGGCAAATTCAGGAGATGATCAGGAGTTACAGAACAAAACAACGGTAAGATTGATGGCTTTATCTCTCAGTGAAAAAGCTTTTGTTGTCGTTTCCGCGATTGTACTTGGCATGACCGCGGAGAACACATATTCGATTCGGCCATGGCCATTCGGTCAAAGCTAAGACTTTTTCATGTTATCCTTTCTTCAGGAGTCACCAGGTAGAAGAAAGGGAAGAGGACTAAAAAGAAATATAACGAAATCGGCCACACAGGTATTGTAGGTGTTCTCTACTTTTGTGGAATCGCGATGTTTTTGCTGCGACCGAGGCGCGGCTCTGCTTTCATGTAGCACGCAACAAAATCGCGCCTTCGAAAGTGTCGAAAGTCAACAATGCTTTGGACAGTTGAAAGTTAAAAGCAGCCCATTAAATTAATTCTTGTAATCAAAACACAATAAAATAATTCTGGGAGATATTGTAATACGCCTGTGGAAGGCGTAGTGCCGCCATATTGTCAAATAAAATGTTCCGTTAAAATTTTTCATTTCTTCCCCTATAAGGCCAGCTGGAGCGGGGCCCACTAATGTTACAACTAATGAAGTTGCAGCCCAAGAGATGCCCCCCACAGACAGCAACAAGGGGGGAATGACTGTTCCTGCGATACATTAGGGGTCCACACCATGGCTGCCTTATATCATCATAAATCCTAGTTCACACTCTCTACTGTCCTTTTGGAAAAGCATGCTTACAAGTTAGCCTTGTGATTTCCTTTAGATAGTTTTCACTGTCACGCAACAAAAAATTAAATTGGAAACCGTCCAGTGGAAGAAACCAAGAAAATGAAATGTTATAAAAGACGAATATATAAACAATTTGTCCAAGTCTCAGGTCTTTGTGGCCCATAGTTTCTGAGTTATTTGGCGAAACGTTTCACTCACTTTTGTAGAGCTTTGTATGAAGACGCCATATTGGTGCACCGTTTTGGTGCACCAATATGGCCGCCGGAAATCAACAAAAACATCTGGAGTTTACTTTTTCTATAAAAGCTCTTTCTTTTCACTTGCGAACTAGCGTACGTTCGCGTAAACATATCTTCTAACACTTGAAGTGGTTATATTGCTGAAAATCAAGAGGAGAGACTTTTTTTCAACGAGACAGCATTCCTATTTCATTGTCGCGCACTGTGAAAACTCGGAAGTTCAAATTGCTGTATTTTCGAAATGAAACATGCTAAGGAAATGGAAACTGGTGCAAAGATTTACTTTTTGTTTATCTTCAACCTAGTGTAAATAAGAATTCGTAAAACCTCGCTATTTTGACTTTACAATTTGATGACGTCACAGTGAAAACCATCTATAAATAAACAAATAAATAAATAAATTGCTTTTTTACCCACGAAGCACTTAAGAGTTCATTTGAACTCGTTTAAACGTGTCCGTGTGTTCCAGATCGAATTGGAATTTGGAAGTGTCGGTTTTTGAGGAGAGGGGAAAACTGGAGTACCCGGAGAAAAACCTCTTGGAACAAGGGAGAGAACCATCAACAAACTCAACCCACATATGGCGTTGACACCGGGATTTGAACCTGGGCCACATTGGTGGAAGGCGAGTGCTCTCACCACTGCGCCACCCTTTGCCCTATGTATATGAATGCATTGCATTTCTTCTACAACTAACATAGCTTTTTTCCTTCTTAATGCACTTGTAGCCTAAGAATGCAAAGAAGGCAAAACCATTGGTAAGTTTGATTTTGTTTTAATGTTAAGTTGTTAATTAGTTATTAGCACTCCCCCAAAATATCTCTACAGTCGCATGCTTTTAAAACCACACTGCTCCTTGGATCTGTTTCTTAAAATATCTGGAAGTTACCCTGCAGGTAATGCTCTTTGTTTACTTTCAAGGTTAAGGTTTCAAACATTTTAATCCAAACAAAATGAAGTGGCTTCTTAGCTAGGTCTTGCACTTTTATCCTTAAGTTTTAATTTTAATATCTGGCTTCATGCCCAAAAAAAGCGTATGGGACTTTTCAGAAATGGGTCCGTGGTCTAGAATGGGGTGTTTTTACTCAATAATTTGCTTGTAACAGGAAAGAATAGTTTGAATGGCAATAAAAACTTTCCAATGTTAATTTTATTAGCAACAAAATAAATAACTAGTCCCAAGAATGGGCATTGAAAACTGGCTATTTCTGTTGCGAAATCTTGGTAGAATGAGGCCAAACTTTACAGGTCAGCCAATTAATTTTCAATATAATACTTAAAAAAGGTGGATAAAACAGTAGACCAGCTGGAATAGGGGCCCAACTTCAGTTGGTGAATCAGGTTTTTATTGCATTTAATACAGTGGAAGCTCTCGTAAGCGGAGACCATCAGGACACAAAAAAGGTGTCCCTTCGTAACTGCGGGGCTGTGCGCTTATGGGTATGTAAAAATACAGAGTTTGTGTGGGAGTTGAGAAAAACGGCGTTTTGTGAAGGTGGACGTAAGTAGAGCTTTTCGCTTAGGAGTGTCTGTTAGGAGAGCTTCCACTGTATTTAACAATAATGATTAGATGACTCATTTTGTTTTTGTTTTTTGTTTTTTATTGTACACTTCAATTTAAATATTAATATGATTTCAATATGTGCAGAGCACTACGAGTAATGAACTTTCAGCCCAGCAGATGCCCCTGCAGACAGCATCTCATCAACCATTGCAAGCATTAATACAGCCTACCTTACCAGTTCTGCAGTATCCCCATTCAGTGCTACAACCTCCCCAGACTGGGTTGCAGCCCTCTCAAGCAGTACCCCAATCTCAGCCTGTTCAAGTTGTTGCCCATCCTGGTGATGGCAGCACTCCAATCCCAACATTTGTCCAATATACCATGCCTCCAAATATCTTTACTTCACCAGTGATGAACTCTACAAATCAGCCTCTTGTTCAATCAGCTGTTCCAACATCTTTGTCCGTGCTCAATGCCCTTAATGACGACAAACTAGGGATTATCTTACCTGTATTGGTCAGGATGGAACACAAAATTGATCAGCTTATGGCAATGATGGGGGCCAACAATCAGGCAACTGGAAATAACTTAAGTGCTGCCGTGTCATCTGGAGTACAGAATAATGTAAGTGGACAGCTGAATAATGCATCAAGTACATCTCAGTCTAATGCTGCTAAAACCCAGACAAGCAGTTCATCTACAGGAGCTAATATCCAAGCAAATGCAAGGGCAACAGTGGCAAGGCTGTTTGATACCCAAGTGGAAGGTGAGGAAGAATCTGAACAGATGGCCACTGATAAAGGAGTAAATGAATCAGTAGCAATTCGTGGAATGACTTCGCGACAGCGCATCCAACTTGAAATGGCCAAGATAACAGAAAAGACCTTGCCTGAAGATTTAAACTTTCCTTTATCACGTGATGACCTTATTGCTTTGCAAGCAAAATCTACATCGACAATGAATTTTGCTGTGCGACTGTTACGCGAAATGTTCACACGAGAAGAACTTCTGGGCAGAAATCTTTCAGGTGTGCGTGGGAAAGAGAGAGTTGATCCTGCCAGAGTAGAAATCATCAAGGAAATTGTGTTTAAAATTTATCGGACATCACCATCAGATAGGGAACTATTGTGGAGATACTGCCGTAAAGCAATGGATTCCTTTTTGAGAAAAATGCAACGGCCAGTTGAAGTTGTAAAGGATCAGTACGATTCTCCTTCCTTTTTAGCAACAGATAAAACCTTGAGTGGGCCATCTAATGTAACTCCTGAACCTGAGGAAAATGAAGAGACATCACCCTGATCATCTTTTTTTCTGGAATATTTCTTGAAGGAAATGGTTAATGTTTGAATGGTTTTGTGGAAAAATTGTCATGCACTTGAACAGTTCAGTACAGTTCAGAACGGTTATTACGTGGTAAACAAAACTTTTTTTATTTTGCACTGTCTAATATTCAGTTTTTTAATGGTTTTAATGTTAATGTTACTCAAAGAAATGGAATTACCCAATTATTCTTTAATATTTTTGTGTTCTTGTATGAAAGTACTATAAAGTAAAGTTCCTGCATGATTAATGCCCAAATGGAGGTATGATGTTATGTATGAAACTAGTCTTGCACGGCTGACAATAATTATAATAAAAAATTAATTTTGTAGATTACAGAATTACCAGTATTTATACTACTATAGGAGAAATTTCTGCAATTTGACTGGCTTAAAGCAGTGGTATTTCAGCTTATTTGGAAATACCTACATGTGAAAATTACTAATTTTTGGTGGGTAGTAGTATAAACAAATATTACTATGATTTGTACTTGATATTTGGCATAAATACCACTTGTCATATTTCAAAATTGTCTCAAATTTCACTCACCTAACGGCTTGTGGAATTACACATACAGCTATTTTGAGAAAGGCTGTCGGGAAAAGTGCACGCGACAATCCTGAAAGGCATTGTGGGTGGTTTTAAGTTGTCTTTTTTTCAAAGAAATTTGAACGAATTGGCACGAAAGGCCATGGAAATGTGTTTGCGAGTGCTAAAGGAAAGCAACAAAAGTAGGTTCGACAGCTACAATCGTCAGGAACATTGTATTGATCATATCCCATATTACCTTGCGGGATTGTCGCGTGCACACTTTTTCCGACAACCTTTCTCGAAATAGCTGTATAACAGTTTCAAAATATCACTTGTGGTATTTATGCCAAATATCACTACAAATCATGCTATTACCTATACTAATTTAAATGGCTCTACTTTTTTACACTATACAGTATTCAGTTTCTAACGTTCCAAAAGATATGTGGGCAAGATGTAAGCCTCAAATAAAATTATACAATCTGGTAAGCTCCTTGCATGTAACAATAATTTTGAATTCACGTGCAGTATTAAAATAACACACACGGTTGAAGGGAAGAGTAGCATAAGGCCTCAGGGTGTTTGCTGATCACCCTGGGTACTTATTCCACACTTTTGATTTAATTCACAAACAAGTACAAGCAAGGGCCAGAGTCACGCAATGCTCCCCACCCCTGTATGGAGAGTGTTGCGTGACTCTGGCCGGACCAGCTGTGAAGGTGACTAGCTGAAAGGAGAATCTAACTCTTTTTTAGAATTCACTTGAGGCTCTTTGCTAGTCACCTCGTTAAATTGTAAAATGATTATCCTCGCTTGTTCATAGCTAAGGAATGGATAAGAACAGAAAAGATGAACATAAATGGAGATTCTTTTAAATAGCCAGAAAAAATTAAAATGATATTTCAATGAGTGAGATACAAGGCCGATTTGCAAGAAGGGGATATAAAGGTATTTTCCTCTTGAAAGGAAACGTTTTTCTTGGCTTTCATGTCACCTCAGCTAGCAGCTTTTTTCCCCTGTGCTCGCCGTTTCGGTGCACTCTCCACAAAAAAAAGTTCATGAAATAAAGTCTCTTCTCTTAAAAACAGGGCAGTGAAATGAGCGATTTTGCCTTGAACAGGGTCCCGGTTTGAAGGTCTCGGGGGCCTGACACCTCTCCTCAAACTTCCTCTGTGAGCCCTTTTCCTCTCCCCACCCCCACCCCGGGAGCGGAC